CAAGAATTGGATAGAAAGAGATGCCGGGATAGGTCGGAGCCAGCCTCTGGACCATTTGTGTTGGAAATCTCAAAGATTATAGATACCATCGTTGAGATGCAGGTATAGTACCTTATGAAAACAACAACCATCAGGGTACAAGAACCTAAAAGGTTACCATCTCCAAGCAATAAAGGCATATTCTAAACATAAACTTGCTTATTTAATGATATCATAAAAACAGTATTAAATTCAAGAAATAATATTTTCGCAAGTATTTTCGCATTACCATTAAACGTGAAACAATTTCTTGGATTTATTTTATTTGTTTTTTGATTAATAATTTCCTTTTCCTTGGTTTTTTTATAGAACTGTGCCTGGCGTTTCTCAAGACAACGTTTTCTTGTTCCATTGATTACGCTTTCTTCAAGCCGCAGTCAACGTATACCAAACAGTAGGTACACTGAGGCGCTGGTGAAAGATACTCATAGAATTCTTCCTCTAAAACCAGAGTTTGCGGACTATAGGTCCAATATTATCTCTTCAACGAAACTATCTCTGCTATCAAACTAGAAAATCCATTTCATCAAAATAAAGAAAAGAAACAGGATGAAAAGGGCATAAAATCTAGCGTTGATGCAGAGATTTCATAGACACGTCTTCTCTTACAACAACAGCAGCAAACACTATCATCACTAGATAAAAGTGTAGAAAAACAGCCGTCAAAGAATCTTAAATGCTGTATTACTACTACGAACAAAGAACATACTGGATTGTTGTTTTCAAGGCCTGAAAAATGCAGGTATCATGCATATCAGAGTCTGATTCTGATGATGACTCATAGTATATAGGTTATTCATAGGACACGTAGAGCGTCACAAGGGCTAATTTTAAGGACAACACACATTCTGGAAAAATACAATGACTTGATGAACTTTTTGTACAAAATAACTAACTTTATTCCACCTATAAATGAAAGTCTATATAAAGAGAACCATTTCAACATGAGGGAAAGCCTTGAAATGAGTGAGAAATACCAAAAACCAGAGAGCTGCCAAACTGTTTCCCAAACTTAAATGAGGAGCTGTTTTGTCAAGACAGTATTGATTCCTGATACAAAAAAGAATGATACCACCCCTACGAAGAATAAACTCTTGCTCACACAAGGTTTGATTCAAATAGTAAAAATGATGGACATTATGCTTAGAAAGTAAACAGGAAGTGAAGAGTTCTTTGAACTAGCTACAGAAAGTATCCAATTGCTTACATTTGCACACTGAGATTTGTCAAATGTAAGAAGGAAATGTAAAAACCAACTATGGCAAAGAAATATCAAAAGCTTTGTACCCCACACTAATGCCTCTTACAAATCAACTGTTTAGGGATGATCTTGAAAAAAAGAGTTGAAATTCATTACTGAAAGTAAAAGGACATGGTATCTGGCAACAAATCAAGTCAGAAAAGAGCAAAAGACCATGACAAAGCTCATATCACAAAAAACCTCACACATCGTCAGTCGGGCAGGCCCCAGCATTTATCATGCCATTACTATGACAACTGCCTGATAAAGCCTGTCTGAGAACAGCAACCTTTCTCAGTCAGTGACTTGAGAACACTATGTTCCTACGCCAGATCAGCACTGATGATGTTTATTGTTGGTATTGTTTAATTGACTTTGCTGAATATTTATGATAATACACAGTAAATAAATTGTTAAAGCAAATTGTACCAAAAATTGCGTTGTGTTATAAAATTATTGGTAAAAACCCTCGGACTACTTTTTTGGCGTATAACCCTCTTGTGGTTACCATACTTTCAGAAATTAGCACCCCGAATTAAAAAAATAAGATGCAAAATCATAATAGAGGCATGATAAAAAGAATAACAGGTTACTGTCTTTTGAGAAAGGGATTTCTCAGACTCGGCTAGATATGGTCCGGAAGGGGCTCGGCAAGCCTCGCCCCTTCCAGGACCATATCTAACCTCGTCTGAGAAACCCTTTCTCAAAACACAGTAACCTGTTATTCTCTATTACTATCAAGATGATGAATCTTTTTTATACAAACACCAGATTTACCGCAGAACAAGACAAACCTTGTAGACAACCACAGCACCATCAACAAACAGCAACAGCAAAAACACAAATTTCAGAAGTAGGAACAATTGAAAATTAGATCTTGATTACTTCTGACATGTACCTGCTTGACATTGTTAAAAATGGGATATAGAATTGACTTCCACTCTATGCAGTGTTACCTCACATGAAATGTAATGACAAATTTAACAGCGATGAAATTACATTATCTCGGCACAAATTGGTGAGTTAATTACAATAAGTGTTCTTACTAAGACTACATACTGACCGAAAAAAGGTGGTACATACAGACTGATCTTAAACATAATGGGCTAAAATGATATGTGGAGAACATCATTTTAAAAGGAGCCATTTATCTTGTTAAACAAAGATGTTATTTTGCAAGTATTGATTTTGCAAAGGCTTACTACAGTGTTCATATTGCTAACATGGCATAAAATATCTATGTTTTTATTTGCATAGTGAAATTTATCAATTCACATGTATACCTTTAAATGGCCTTCAGCCCAATGTTTATTCACAAAACTGCTTAAACCCATGTACTCTACACTACGGAAAATTTATCATTTAAATGTTGCTTACATTGTCAATATAGTAGTCTCATTGGATACATGTAGTTTCTGTTGCCAAGCAACATTCAAGCAAGATCTGTAGTTTAATTAATAACAACAAGAGGGCCATGATGGCCCTGAGGTCGCTCACCTGTATATAGCCCCCCACCCCCCCGCCAATTTTTTCCCAAGGGCTTTTATTTGAACAGACTTGGTAGACACCCATAAGAAGATGTTTCATGCTAAACATCTAAGTTCTAGCTCATTGGGTTTTTTAAAAGAAGATTTTTTAAGTTTTTACAATACACATATAGTTAAAAACAATGACACCCCTGGGGCAGGGCCAGTTTTGACCCCCGGGCTTTTATTTGAACAAACTTTGTAGATATTTACTTAAAAATGTTTCATGTATAATATCTAAACTCAAGCTATTTGGGTTTTTTCAAAGAAGATTTTTAAGTTTTTGCTATACACATATAAGGAAAATCAATGACCCCCGGGGCGGGCCAGTTTTGACCCCAGGGCTTTTATTTGAACAAACTTGGTAGACACCCATTAGAACATATTTCATGCTAAATATCTTAGCTCTAGCTCTTTGAGTTCTTTAAAAGAAGATTTTTTAAGTTTTTACTATATGCATATAGGGAAAATCAATGACCCCCGGGGCGGGGCCAATTTTGACCCCAGGGCTTTTATTTGAACAAACTTGGTAGACACTCATTAGAAGATGTTTCATGCTAAATATCTTAGCTCTAGCTCTTTGGGTTCTTTAAAAGAAGATTTTTTAAGTTTTTACTATATGCATATAGGGAAAATCTATGACCCCCTGGGACAGGGCCAATTTTGACCCCAGGGCTTTTAATTGAACAAACTTGGTAGACATTCACTAGAAGATGTTTCATGTCAAATATCTAAGCTCTAGCTCTTATGGTTCTTTAAAAGAAGATTTTTTAAGTTTTTACTATATGCATATAGGGAAAATCAATGACCCCCCGGGGCGGGGCCAATTTTGACCCCAGGGCTTTTATTTGAACAAACTTGGTAGACACTCACTAGAAGATATTTCATGTCAAATATCTTAGCTCTAGCTCTTTGGGTTCTTTAAAAGAAGATTTTTTAAGTTTTTACTATATGCATATAGGGAAAATCAATGACCCCCTGGGGCGGGGCCAATTTTGACCCCAGGGCTTTTATTTGAACAAACTTGGTAGACACTCACTAGAAGATGTTTCATGCCAAATATCTAAGCTTTAGCTTTTACAGTTCTTTAAAAGAAGATTTTTTAAGTTTTTACTATATGCATATAGGGAAAATCAATGACCCCCCGGGCCGGGGCCAATTTAGACCCCAGGGCTTTTATTTGAACAAACTTGGTAAACACTCACTAGAAAATGTTTCATGCCAAATATCTTAGCTCTAGCTCTTTGGGTTCTTTAAAAGAAGATTTTTTAAGTTTTTACTATATGCATATAGGGAAAATCAATGACCCCCTGGGACCGGGCCAATTTTGACCCTAGGGCTTTTATTTGAACAAACTTGGTAGACACTCATTAGAAGATGTTTCATGCCAAATATCTAAGCTCTAGCTCTTACGGTTCTTTAAAAGAAGATATTTAAAGATTTTTCTTTCGGTTGCCATGGCAACCAGAGTTCTGCATGAAATGGAATTCTTTGAACAATCTTGATAGAGCTTCATACAAAGAGTATTCCTGCCAAGTTTCATTAACATTGGCCTTGCGGTATCATAGAAGATGTCCTTAGAATATTTAAAATGTGGACGGACGACAGACGACGGACGCCATTTGGTTGGCCATCCTAAAAGCTCACCTGCACTTTGTGCAAGGTGAGCTAAAAATAGGTAAAAAAACTACTTTTCATAAACATCATCTTTGACATATAAATCAATTGGGACATTTAATATGGAAAAAAAAAGAAGATGGCCTGATTTGTGCTAAAAACATTTCCCATTTCTCAGTCATTTTGCACACTAAAATGATAATTCAGGAACAACAGATGAACAGAAATTTTTCACACAAGTTATTGGTACAGACCCGCATTAAAGGTATAAAAATCTCAAAAAAAAACTATTCCAGTCCAGTCATGTCAAAAAGATTCAGTGGAGTCATTTTAACACCCAATGTCAAAGGGCCTCATTTGTCTTCAAAGTTTATAATGTAAATAAGGTCACCAGACAATCATTTGTCTCATATTAAACATTTAACTGGAACCAGTACTTCTTTTGGATTTTTTAAAGATTTTTTTTAAAACATTTTGACAATGTAAGAGCCTATATGGTGCAATACAATATGACTCTGGTTGGTGATTCTGTTTGAATATAAAACAAAGGTGCAAAACATGCTATCCCACCATACAAAGCAGTGTATGAAACAAGATTGAACCCACTATCATAATAAATAACACGAAGTACATCTAAATACAAAATAATAAATATGGCATTTTTACCAGAAACTATGACAAATTTTAAGTGTATAAAGCTATATCTGTGCTGTCTTCAGTTTACAGGATTTTGGTAACAGGTTAGTTTCATAATACCTGTATGAAAAACATATGTTGGTATATTTTCTATTGAGCAAATGGCACATGTATATAATCATTAATAAACAGTGAAAACCCTCATTAAAATAGCAGGATAATATTATGTTCCAGAACATTTTATTCTGTTTACATACAGTATTCAGGAGTGTAAAATTAACAGAAACATTATATGTTACAGCTCTTTCGATAACTAACCATAAGATTTTGGAAACAACATTATTTAACTGTTTTTTCACATTTTATGATAAAATTTAATTAGATATAGCTTTATACACTTTAAACACCCTTTAAAATAATTTTACTCCCTGAGTAAAAAATGATAATTGTATCAACATTTTCTTGACATACATGTTATTGATAAGTAACTGTTTTAACATAATTATTATACTGTTCCTCTTTCTCAAATAAAAATAAAAATTCAAGTTTATCATGAAACTGCACAACAAGTACTGCCATCATTAGCTATCAAATGGCAAATCTGTATGCTATTGAGGCATTTGGTTTACGTTATAACAAAATCATGCATTGTATCTTTAAATACATTGAATAAATGATAAAAATAAACAAAAACACTCTAAAAATTGAAATTTAGTTCCATTCTAGCCAATAAATTTGATAGTGAGAGTGAATCAAAGTAAATATATTTAACAACATTCTACTGAGAAATATATGACTGTATATTGTTCTACTGTACCAGAATGTTGTGTAAATTTAAATTCATCAAATGTACTAACACTTGAGGATTAAAGTATTCTGAGATTCTTTAAGTAATAATGGAAGAGAGCAAAACATGATACATATAAATAAGATGTTTCAAGGAAATCAAGTAAATAAATACAGTTATATAAGATTTACATTCATGCTGTAATCACTTTCAGTGATTCTCCTTTTTTCAGAGGCAGTATCTCAGCTCTCTAAGATTCTAATATAAAAAAAAAGCACATCTCTTTTCTCTTTCTTTTAAAAGAGCGAAGAAAACCTATTCAGCAGCGAGATATATGATAAATTGCACAATAATTTATATATTCCATTATGAGTGTAATTAATTTCTGTAAAAATTGTATCATTCATTTTCTTAAAAAAGTAAAACAAAATTGCACCTGCGGACATTATCACATCAGAAAACTTCAATTCCATACAAGTTCCACATCCCATCTACTTCTATCACAAAAAATTTCACAACTGTGTAACATTTTAGTTTAGTTCAATGAATAATTCATACTATACAATGCAATATAATTGTGTGAAGATAAAATACAGATCTTATAATGGTCTATCCAGTATCACAATGACCGGCATTTTCTAGCAATAGAGGTCGTCATCAACTTATAAATGACTGACATATGTTGGAAACATCCTGTTTGATACTGTTATATTCTCTGTCTTCTAGAGCTGCATCTCGTATAGTCGACTCTATCTTTTCTTCATCCAAGTCGTAAAACATTTCTTTAACTGAAAATAAACAGCAATTTTTAAATGATACATGCTATATATAACTTAAACATTGCAACTTAATTAAAAGCAAAATCCTAGGTGCCTGAATTTTGTTGATAATAAAAATGAGAATTTTTTTTTTCAGCTGGAACTACAGACTGATTTATTTTAATAAAAAAAAAGTGCCACCCGATATCCTAGTAAAATCAAGTTAAGTGTAAGTTCTAGATCAAGTTCATCCTAAAATAACCTACTCATGTTAAACATGTGTAAGATAAAGAAATCCATACAGATTATATTACATTAAAAACAAACACTCCCATAATATGATATCAATGATAGAAAATCATGGTGTTTTATGTCAAGAGTTGCAAAAAATAAGATAACAATAAAATTAAGTTATTTACCATACCTTTGACAGGTAAATGTCCTGCCAGCTCCACTAGTGCTACATTGAAAGCTTCTTCATCTTTCAACCCTGAAATATTATAAAGTTAGAAATATATGGTAACATGTGAAAGAATAAGATGATCATCTAGCAATATTTTTATTTTGTGTTTTTTTGTTTGTAGAGTTTTATGTTGCACCAACACAGTATAGGTCATATGGCGACGTTCCAGCTTTACTGGTGAAGGAAGTCCTCAGGTGCCAGTCTGTGCATTATTTCAAGCATGAACAGGCACCCAGAGTAGAACAACCGAAGTTCCAAAAGCTAGCTGAATAGCTATACTAAACTTTTTTATTTTTTATCAATCCAAGCCCTGCCTTTTTATTTATCATCAATATTTTAATCATTGATAATTTAATGTTCTAATACTAATGGAATGCCTATAAGAGTTGGCTTAACAAAATATGTTCATTCCGTTAAACATTTAACTCTCAGTTAAAGAGCAGACTTTAAAAACATGATGTGATTTTCAAATTCTAATGTAATGCCAATAAAAGATATATCTTAAAACAAAATATGTTCTAGAAAACACTTAACTAGTAGTTACAGGGTAAAAATCAAATGTTAACAAACATATTGAAAAATTTTGTTTTGAAATGTTATAAAACAGCCTGTAAATGAAGAATAGGGTCCAGTGAGCTATATATGCAAAACACATACACATGCTACCTATAAACTTCTTCCTTGGCCACAAATAAACTCGTATAGTTCTATTAGTACTGTGTTGATCCTCGTTAAAAACCGGGCCTCGAATCATGTACATATTATGTGCTACTTCATGTTTCTGGAAGTAATCTGCTATATGGAATATAATCCTGAAAATCACCAAAAATATATCCGTTATTTTTACAAATGATTAATACATGTATAATTTTAGTGCCCCAAAAAATGTTTCACATGCCAGAAATGTTTAACCAATTAAATAAAGAAATGTGTTTGCTGTCCTTTGTGACATATCACAATTTCAATATTCTGCACAAGAAAATAATCTCAGTAATCAATAGTAATTACATTTGAAATCAGTATTTGGACCCAAAACACACATTTCAGATGTAAAGCTTTCAATGGCTAAACAATGGCAAGGTCAAGCAATTGGGATGTTGCAGGCCTGGCAGTCATGTGTAGATATTCCTGCTTGTCACAATACTTAAATTTCAAAACACTTTTTTTTAAAGATAATTTACAAAATAAAATGGTGTAAGTTGTAATATAATGCACCTGGCCATAAATAAAATAGGTTTTTATTATTTTTGATTTAAAGATAGTTAGATTCTTACTTTGATAATTTGTCTACTCCAGTCTTATGTAGCTGAAAAGCAAATCCTTTAGCTGGCATAGCATCTAGTTCATATAAATCTCCACATATATGCTTTACAGGCTGTAAAAAAAAATTTGATATGTTGCATTGTAACAAAATAAGATATTTTATATATCTCATGCACATAGATAGCATTTGGTTACTGGTACCAGGGTTTAATATATCAACCCTTAACCTGCTGAAATTTTGCAATGGATTTGAGCTTTATACAAAACATGAATAAAAAATTTCATGATTCATTACTAAAATTTTCAAATATTCCATACTTCATACAAGAAAACCAACGGTCCTTTGCTAATCCTCGATTGAAACTGTCAAAATAAAGTAACTATTTTCTCTTCTTTTTTAAAGCACTAGAATAAATCAAGTACATGTATGTTCCTTCAGTTCATTTATTTCTTGTTTTTATGCTGGTTTAAAAACAATTTTGGTTATATCTTGGCAGTCCATGCACCTAACCGGAGTTCCTTGATAACTAACTAGTACCAGATAGCAATTTCTCTGCAAGTGACTGACTACTAATCCACCATGATTTCTAAAACGTGGTGAGAGACAAATGACAAAGATAAATTGTCAATGTCATGGAGTAAATTTTGCTTCGTCAGATTAATCCAATGCTCTCCTTTATGAGCTAAGTAGGCTCAATCTGTAACACAGTGTTCCAAAATATACTTACTACAGATTCTACAAAAAGTTCCCTATCTAGGTAATATGCATGTAGATGAGCATGATTTACTGAGGCAAATGCACATAAACTGTTGAAACCTATTCTAAATCCTCTGAAAATAAATTAAATAAACTTATTTAGTTATGTTACAAAAAAGAAAAGAAAAGAAAATCATACATTAGGTGTTATCACACCAATACACTTAGCAAAAGTAAGTTACAGAAAAGATATTGTGATGGCGTTTTTAGGTCCATGACTTCAAAATTAAATTTTCACTGTGCAAAAATAGCTGGATGTACCAAGAAAAAAACATGTATATCTGAAGATCCAACAAAACATGTGTCAGTTAATCTATTTACTATATACGTGTATATGTTAAGCTAGTCTAGTAAACGAATCAAATTACAGTTCTTACAAGACTGCATTAATATTCTAACACTTTTCTTCCCATATATTGTACCTTATCCTAATATATCTAGCCTTAGAGTGATATTAAACTAGGTTTGGGGATTTAAGACTCACTGAAAATGTACAGGTTTTATGACAACTTTAAGCTCTACTGGTAGAGAAATACCTCAGATGTCTCTAAGTCAATTATTTCAGGCAAGAGCAGGCATTTGAGCAGGACCAGGCATCAAACATTATTTTTCAGAGTCACTCGTTCTGCAGGACTAGTAGCTACTAAATCCAATGTGCAGGCAACATTTTTCTACTCATCCTGCATCAATTGTCTTAAATTCTACTCGTAATTAAGAGCAGACAAGTGGAATTTTCAATCTCTGAGTAGGACCAACGATATTCTGTACAGTACACTAGCTGCATTACTTCCTAACATGATATAATCTGAAGTCTTACAGGTAAGTTTTATCTTTTTTTTACCTGTGTTTACTCAAAAGCATCATCTCTAAGGATACCCTCATTGAAGATTCTGTTAACACCTGTGAAAAACAAACAACAACATATACATGTGGAGTTAAAAACAAAACTTGTGTTAATACTTTTCTTTATAATCTGTAGAACATTCCTACATCAAATAATCTGTCAAAACACATTTTTCAAATTTTTCATACAAAATAAAACCTTTTATGCTTATTTTTCTATAAAAAATACTAGGATAATATCACATTGTTTAGTGAAAGAATTTGCATGCAAAACATTATTATACTAAAATTGATAAAATATAAATTTGTGACATGATAGTTAACTTAATTTGGAAGAAAACATTGACAAACTAAGTTAGTTTCTATGACAATGAAATTTTTAATTTTAAAGCAGCATGCCTCTAGTTTCATGCGAATTTTCATGAAAATTTTGAAAATGTATTTAAAAGCTAAATATTGTAAAGTGAACAAAGAAAGTAATTTACACTTTGCAAACAGCACTTACAATCCACGTCAATTACCAAAACAAGGTCAAAATATGCATAAATACCTCTTACTGTTTTAGTAACGCAGTAGAATTTTAGTGATTGATACTGTAAAATCAGTTATTATTCTCACTTCACATGTAAATATTGAATAATTTTACTTTTCTTAAGATCTTAATACATTTTTGTAAAGAATTAATTTCTTGAAATATTTTGGCTCATATCTAGAGGTGTGCAGCTTAAAACATTAATTGAGCCGCGCCATGACAAAACCAACATAATGGGTTTGCGACCAGCATGGATCCATGCTGTTCGCTATCAGTTTCTCTACTTGTTATAGGGTTTGTAAGTGAACAGCATGGATCCTGATCAGACTGTGCGGATGCGCTGGCTGGTCTGGATCCATGGTGGTCGTAAATGCATTATGTTGGTTTTGTCATGGCACGGCTCAATTAATTTACCTGTGGCTGACAAGCATCTATGTCGGGAACCAGCAGAACATGTCCATACTCCAGGGGGCTTACATTTATAACTACCAAATTTCTCTTCTGTACAAACAAAACATTTTGTAACTTTTAATTTTTGTAACTTCATATTATGTACTACATCTACCTTACTGTTTCCTCTTCATTTATTTGGGTTTATATCACAGAAATATTTTTAAAGTTTGAGGGGAATTTTCCAGCTTTCTCAAAGAATAACCACTTGATGTGCCCCACTATGGATCAATTTATGCACAAATAGGTTCTTATGTAGAATCAACCACCCTGAATGCACTAATTGACTTGTTTCCTCCTATGATGTCCTTGGCAGGATTCCATACACAACAGTAATTAAGTCAATTAAAGTCAATTATCTTAACCAATTAACTGCAAATATACCTTTCAAAAACATAAGAATCAATTTTATGATCTAAATGAATGTATAAATGTAATACAATCATTCTAATGTACATAATAATAAATGCTGGCTAGATATTATATGAGAAGCCCTTACTGCATGTTACAAATCTATATTAAAATGGTCATATTATTTTAATAGAAAAACTAGAAATGTTATCATTAAGCTTCCACCTAATTACCCTGTAACAGTGGCATATTTACATACATTTTTTGTGTGTACTTGTCGATATTTTAATGAAGGTCAAATGTCATTTTAATAAGTCACTTTTATATATCCATTAATAAAGTATTCAAATCAAGTTTAATACACATAGGCATGTTCCTGATTAATGTCTTATCACCGAAAAACAGTTTTTATTTATTTGTTCCTGATCAATGTCTTATCACCAAAACAGTTTTTATCATTATCTCCTTGGACATAAAAAGATGAGTATTTCAATGCTTTTTATGACAAAAGCAATGCAGTATCTTGAACATATATTACACATGTACTTTCTAAACTATTGTATTTTAAATACCTATATTCATGGCATTGTTAATGCTTTAACTATTAACATGCTGAAACTTATAAGTTAGCCTATGACACCAGTACAGAGCCAGATGAGTCTGCAGTTCTGTGAAGGCTCTATACTGTTGGTTGACCACCTTCAAATTTTCATTTTGTTATCCCTAAAATTGATTGATGGAATGATCCAACAATGGAATCTGAACAAGTTTATTTCAGAAATTCAGCAGATGACATATAATATTTTTAAAATGTAATTTAAGAACCCAAGTTTGATACCTTAACTGCTTGTTTATCAGTACCATTTTGCTGTGCCTGGTTAATCTGATTGTTCGGCCTTGAATCATCTTCCTTTACAAGTTCTAGAAGGATTTCTGGGGGCTTGATTTTTAAGAAATTAAAAGATGCTGGATTAAATGGTTGATTCACTGACTCAATCACGTCTGGTTTCCTTCTCTCCTGAGCTCGCTTTACATTTAACTGAAAAAATAGAATAAAATCATGAACTCTTTCAGTTACCTTATAGATGTATGTATCAGGTAAAAATATTTAAAAATAACATTCCAAAGCTTTGTCAAGTAAGTATAGTATGTACATTAACTCTTTTATACCATTTGTGTATTGACACCTCATTAGATATTATGCTGATTATAGTTATGGATATTTAAGATGAAAAACTTGAAAAAAAGCTATATATATTTCATCTTAAAAATCTTCTGTTAATCTTTCACCATGCCTTGATGCAGAATAAAGGCATTTATGTTGTAGAAGTCAACTTGACCTGAGCTAAATTTCAGTTAATTAATCTTGATTTAACATGCACATCAAATTAAAACATATAAACAAAATTGGGTTATTTCAACCAAAAATCTGATAATTACACTTTGAATCAAACTGGACACATTTTTGAAGATATATTGTCAACTAAGTGCAGTAATAGGTTAACTTTTTTTAAATAATATAAGGAGTTAACCCTCTCCTGTTAATTTTTAAACCTTATTTTGCTCTTCTATATCAGATGAAAAAACTAATTATGTAACAAGATATGTTTGTAATACATGTATGCTCCCTATTGGCAGCCAATTAGTCATGTGTCCAGGTTATTGTGACTGACTTTTGACCTACATGTAGCGACCTAAAAGTCAAAAGGGGTTATCTACAGGTCACGACTAGTCACTTGGTCATTGTGACTGTAAAGGTTGTGAGCAGCAATTTTATGACAAAGTTATCATAAATCTATAGAGATCAACAACTGGCAAAGACCAATGCACCAGTGATGTTTGAGTTGCCGAGTTATTGGTCAGAAACCGTTTTTTACAAACAATGTCAATGTGACCTTGACCTTTGACACTTAAATTGATAGGGGTTATCTTCTGGCTAAGACCAATGCACTTGTGAAGTTTGAAGGTAAAGGGCCCATGAACTGGTGAGATATATATTGTTTCATTTTTACCTATTAGCTCAATGTGATCTTGACCTCAGACCCCTTGCCCCCAAAAATCCACTGAGGTCATCTTCTGAACAAAAGCAATGCATTTGAGAAGTTTGAAGGTCAAGGCTTCATGGGTTGTCCAGTTATTGATAGGAAACTGTTTTGACATACAAGGTCAATGTAACCTTAACCTTTGACCCCCTGACCCCAAAATCAATAGGGGTCATCAACTTACCAAGACCAATGCACCTACAAAGTTTAAGCCAACAGCCAATGGGTTGTCGAGTTATTGATCGGAAACTGTTTTTACCTAAAAGTCAATGTGACCTTGTTTGTTGACCCCTAAATCAATAGGGGTCATGTAATGGCCAAGACCAATGCACCTGTCCTATGCAGTTTGAGGGCCAAAGGGCCATTTGTTGTCAAGTTATTGACTGGAAACAGTTTTTACCTTTGACATGTGACCCCAAAATCAGTAGGGGTCATTTACAGGACAAGACCAATGCACCTGTGAAGTTTGAAGGTCAAAGTCTTGTGAGTTGTTGAGTTATTGGAAAACATTTTGACATTCAAGGTCTTTTGACCTAGAATGACCTCCAAAACAATAGGGGTCATCTTCCGATTATGAACAATCCCCATACCAAGTTTTAAGTTCCTAGGCTTAAGCGTAAGCCAAAGATTCTGAGATATTATTGTTTTGGGTCAGAATCTCAACTCATATTACATACTTTTAGTTGGACTAAAACAAAATATTTAGAATAAAATATACCTGGGCTATGTATTTCTTGCTACCAATCACTCTTGTTTCTTCAATGTCCAGTTTGTACCTAAAGTGACCATCCTCCACAGCTTTATCCCAGCCACTTTGCAGGGTTTCATCAAACTAAAACATCAAAATAGTTTTGTCTAATGTTGAACAGTTAACGAATCCTGAAATTACTGCTTCCTCAACTCAAGAGTCACAGTAAAATCAGAAACAAAAATTTGCAATAAATTACCCCAGTCAATACATGTATATAAATGACCTCATACTATAGTATATATAACTGTGTAATTAAACAATATTTGATTTATTCTACATCTATCTTACTCATATAATAAAGTAAACATGCATGTAAATGCAATTCCCTTCCTTTTTGTATAAAATGTAATTTACAAGGTCTTTTTTTTTCAATCTTAGCCGACACAAATTGTTTAATGGACTTGTATTGCTGTCCACTGTCTGGAGATTTCAGTATAAAAATAACAATTTCAAAATGATACCTTGCTCTGCTGGCATTCTGTCTGTTGCCAGTTGCATGTATTCTCATTGAAATCTGACTCGGTGTATGTAAATTGTGCCATTTGTACCTGTAATTATACATGTAAATTTTTGTAATAATATACAGTAAAAACTGCCTGAGCGACCCCCTGATTTCAATGACTCTCTGTTTTATCCAACCTTGTATCAGTCCTACCAACATATTTCCCTATATAAAAGGTCTGAATTATACAACCCCATTTCATTTGTGACAAGCGACCCTAATTGTCTGATCCCAATGCATTGCTTTGATTTAAAACCACTAGTATGTTTAATTGCAATTGGTTAGATATTATTCCTTCATACACTTATATAATGTTAACTTAAGTCACAACGGTATATCTATGGTCTTTAAATTTTTTATTTTTTTTGTGACAGTATAAAGAGACTCTGCAACTGTATTAAGAGACTTCCTGTCATATGAGACCTTTTTCTAAAGATCCCTTGGAATGTCATATATGACAGTCTCGACTGTATATAGAAACAAGAATTTGTAACAGAGTTACCAACGTCCCCCGCCTCGGGGAAGTTTTATATGAAGCATAAAATTGCGCTATTTCAAAAGATTGAGGTATGGCTGTCAGGACTTTCATTCCAAAATTATGATCAATGCTAGATCTACAAATGCAACAATGAATTAAAGAAATACTAGTAAAATGAAACACGGAATGTAAAATTCTATCATGTTAACCTTTGACCTCTAAGTGTGACCTTGACCTTAAAGGTAGGGGTGAAGAACTGGTGTTGTGTATGACATATCATCTTATTAATATTACTATTTGTGCTAAGTAATTTCAAAATCCCTTGAACTATGTAGAAGTTATAGATCGGACACAAAATATACCCTATAACAGACTATGTCAATCTTTGACCTCTAAGTGTGACCTTGGAGGTAGGGGGCCCATGTTTTGCACCTGACATATCATCTTATTATTGTGATTATTTGTGCAAGGTATTTTTAAAATCCCAGGTTATGGACTGGACACAAAATATACCCTATTACAGAGTATGTAGGGGTCTGGTTGTTGGGCATGACACATCGACTTATTATAACAAACATTTGTGCCAAGTTATTTCAGATTCCTTTGATAAATGAAAAAGTTATGGACCGGACACAAAATATACCCTGTAATAGACTATGTTAATCTTTGACCTCCAAGTGTGACCTTGACCTTGGAGGTAGGTGACCGGTTGTTGCGCATGACACATCGTCTCATTATTGTGAACAATTGTGGCAAGTATTTACAAAATCCCTTCAAAGATAAGAAAGTAATGGACCGGACACGACATATACCATCAAATAGACAATGTTGACCTTGAATGAGCAAGTGCGACCTTGACCTTGGAGTTAGGGGTCTGGTTATTGCGCATGACACATCGTCTTATTATAACAAACATTTGTGCCAAGTAATTTCAGATTCCTTTGATAAATGACAAAGTTATGGACCGGACACGAAAGTGTGACGGACGGACGGACAGACGGACGGACGGACAGACAGACGGAGCCTATTACTATATCCCCCTTTTTTCTTCGAAAAGGCGGGGGACAATTAAATATATCATGAGTTAACATAGCCTTACAGAATCAGATTTTAATGTATCAAACTTGACTCATTGTTTTATTGACAAATATGTCGCAGAATAGTTTAAGTAGTAAATTTATTTCCGAATTCAAACACAAATTCACAACAAATAGAAGTCAAATATGTAACATTGTTATTTTGCTGTAGGAACTCGTTATATTTAGTTTTGTTTTTTTTTCTTCAATATTTGGAGTGTATGTTTGTTCATCTCACATTGATCGTATTTCTAGTATTTTCTACTTAATCAGCTTCTGCACTGCATGGTCATAAGTACCTCAGTCTCTATCTTAAAACCCCGCCACCAAAAGACAACAACCCTAGAGGTGTATAAAGAACAGCAAGGGAAATGAGTTACTGTTTATGTTTAACTTTCAAATTACCTGCACTGCAGGATGAATTTATCAATTTATATGTGATTTTATATGTGATTTAAAGCACCAAAAACTAGCCGGGCATAGCTATAGAATTAGGTCCACACTGCAGGAAAAATGGCATTAAAATTACGGTTGCGTTAATGTCACTGATAACTGTTTATTAACTATCCTAACATGCTTCACAATATTCCCCTATCAAACAGATAGGGCAATCAAGAGCTTCAGTATAGATAATTGAATGCTAGTTTAACAAGCAAATTCGTTGAATTTATATCCCCCGCCGAGTACTGGTTATTATTAACAAAACAACTGAAGACATAAGGCTTTATTTATATATTAATCATGGCATAAACAGTAATATTCTTTGAACTTGATAAATATTCAGGGCAATAACAGAGCCATAATTTTGTGTTAAATAGTAAAATCTGGAAATGCCAATGAGATGTATGCATACTACATAACTAATCAAGGGCCATAAATCTGAGTTATAAGTATCTGACTGGGAACAAGGCGACTATATACACATCTCCTCTTAGTATCCCATAAAGTTTTGTTGAATTCCAGCCAGTAGAAGCAGAGAAGTAGCGAGGAAACAAATATTTTTCTATATGGCTACTGCATAACTAATCAAGGGCCATAACTCTGAGTTAAAGTGTCTGACCGGAACAAGCCGACGATATGCGCATCTCCTCTTGGTATTGAAGGTTCTCATAAACTTTCGTTGAATTCCAGCCAGTAGTTGCAGAGAAGTAGCGCGGAAACGATTTTCACTCTATATGCATACTACATAACTAATCAAGGGCCATAACTCTAAGTTAAAGGGTCTGACCGGCACAAGCCGACGATATGCCCATCTCCTCTTGATATTGATGATTCCCATAAAGTTTCGTTGAATTCCAGCCAGTAGTTGCAGAGAACTACTCCGGAAACGATTTTTACACCATATGCATATTGCATAACTAAACAAGGGCCATAACTCTGAGTTAAAGTGTCTGACCGGAACAAACCGACGATATGCGCATCTCCTCTTGATATTGATGATTCCCATAAAGTTTTGTTGAATTCCAGCCAGTAGTTGCAGAGAACTACTCCGGAAACAAAATTTTACTCTATATGCATTCTACATTACTTATCAAGGGCCATAACTCTGAGTTAAAGGGTCTGACCGGAACAAGCTGACGATATGCGCATCTCCTCTTGATATTGATGATTCCCATAAAGTTTCATTGAATTCCAGCCAGTAGTTGCAGAGAACTACTCCGGAAACGAAATTCGGACGGACGGACGGATGGACAGATGCGCATCTCCTCTTGATATTGATGATTCCCATAAAGTTTCGTTGAATTCCAGCCAGTAGTTGCAGAGAACTACTCCGGAAACGAAATTCGGATGGACGGACGGACGGACAACGCCAAAACTATATCCCCCTCCCGATTCCATCGGCGGGGGATAATAATGTAGTTTTATATAATGGGCCTAAATATAAATCACTTAACAGGGTAGGAAACAATAAACCAGTTTGATTTAATATCTTTCTTTATTTACAAAAATTAATGTAAGTATCGTTTATTACCGATTCTGATCAAAATATATTTCTTACGTTAAACGTTGTTTGGCGCCAATTTATTTCATGTTACGCGCTGAACAAATTAGCACGTCATTTTGACATAATTGTTTTAAATGATTTTAAAAAGGACTTTCGTTATAATTGTAGCGGAGTTATAACTGAAACTGTATTTTTATGTTAAAGGTTTCAATGTTAAAGACATTATAGTCGGTATGACAGCTGCTTAAATTATTTTTTGATATTTGTTTATGGAAAAAAGGAATTTTCTAATGAAGTATTTATTTATTAAATCAATTGTAACTTTACTTCTGTTTAGTAAGATTTTTGGTCAGAAGAAATAATTATTTTATTATTGTATTATTTATTTGTTAAGATTATAATATATCAGAAATGAATGTGTTAGTTAATTACTATATTTTTTGTTTCAGAGAATCGCTTTGTTTTATGCTGATGTGTGAAAATAAAAGATATATAGAAGGGCATACTTGAAAAGTCTAGTTGTTATCCGAAACCCTTTACAACAAATATTTTTTGTCTAAAAAAATACAATTACTTACGGAAGCCCATAAGTGCCATTTTGTCTTAGGACTTTTGTCTTATGACTAATGACTTTTGTATTATGACTTTTGTCTTATGTATTATGACTTGACAAAAAAGGCGGCAAAAAGGCAAGTTTCATCACATGCGCCCATTATGGCTGACGGAGGTAAATCTGATAGTGAAACAGAAGACAATTTGTTAAGTGTTGAAATTTAAACAGTTAGGCTCCCTTATACAAGCTTATTTCTCAATGTATTATTGTTTGTTCACAGCGTTTTTTTTCTCTACTTTGGGAATGGTGCCGGTACCAGACTGATTGGGAAAAAAATGCGTTATTTTAACTAAAATTGGGAATTTTTTTAATGCATTTTTTCAGCTACAAATGAGATTAGACATCATGAATAAAGATAGCTAACAGCTTCCACTGTCCAGATAGAACTATTGAGTTGTAATTTATATGAATATGTTGGATTTAAATGATTTTAGAAAAATCACTTGGCCTTGTGGGCATTTTGAACAGCCATTTTGGGAATTTAACATAATTGGAAATTGGGAATTTTAATGTCTATTTTCCATTGGGAATGGTACCGTTTTAGGGTAGTAGTTATATAAAGAAAAAAAACACTGGTTCATAGCGAACACTATTTATGCTATTTATTTATAGCACATACTTGCTCCGATTCATGTATCAGCTAAAACTACAAATATTTCACCAAGAGTACAAAATTTAGACAATTTAACAGGTAAATATTCCTGCTGTTAGTGCAAAGCACTCCTCACAGTGTTATCTCACCAAATCTGGTCATTAACCTGTGCAATCACTTGAACAATATATTTTGACTTTCTTTGTGTTGAAATAGTAAGGAAATAAATAAAAATATCCAAGATTAATTAATAAGTGATTTTACTGCTTTGATGTTTGCAAACATCATGATTTACTATGGCCACCTGTTTTTATGCTCCCCGAAAAATTTCGGGGGAGCATA